AATAATCTGTTTTTATCCTAAAGAATTTAAAATTGATTTAAACGGGAAAAAATTTGCATGGCAAGGTAAGATATATATTTTTATTAAATTCCTATGCATTTATCTTCTATATAATTCAATATTGCCTTTTAATCTTTCATAGGAGTTGCTCTACTTCCATTCATTGATGAGTCGCGTTTACTTAAAGCCATAGAGTCGGTATATCCTCAATTAAATACTGATGAGATTACAAGAAACACTCGTGGATCTGAAATTCTTTGTTTTAGCAACAAACATCAATTATATAGTAACTTATCTTCTATATACTCAAAACATGACTCAGTAAAGGTGAGTTTTAATCATCAAATTTTCAAATTATGAAACTTCGATATTTTAAATAATTTTTATTTTAACTCTAATAATAGCCAATGCCATTGGATCCAACTATTAGTGACAAACTGATTGGATTTGTCTCAAAAGATCCAAAATTTATACCTGAAAGTACATTTCGTTCACCTTTAATTGAAAAAAATATGCCAGATATTGCTGTTGATAGATCATTGAGGTATTTTCACCAATAATTGATTTATTAACACGCTTTATTTTTATTAGAATCGTAATATAATTCTTGCATATTTTTAGTGTATTCTATCACCTTCCAGCTAAAACAGCTAACAATGCACATAAATCCATCCTTTTACGAAATGTCAGGATGGATTCTCCAGTATTGGGATGGGAAGATCATGAATGGATAAGAAACGGTGGTAGAGGAAGAGGTAGAGGTAAAGGTAGAGGTTTTTCAAGAGATGACCGTGCTTATCACAACAGTCATGATACGCATAGCTACCAAAATAAACCTCCCGATACTTATCTTCCCGATTATCAAAGTAGATCCAACATAAATATGTATGGTGATGATAGAGAATCACGTCGGAATCATTATATTTCTAGTAGTACTTCCGGGAATCATTATAACTATCATGACACATCACGTTACCAGCATAATTCTAACAATTACCATGAGAACAGAGGCTCTTCGCAATATGGAAATCGATATAGTAATAGTCATAGTCAAAGATATAATCGTGTAAATCCTGCTTCCCAAAGTCTATCAATAATTATATTTTAAAAGTGTTAAAGTTATCGATATTTATAAGTAGTCTAT